CAAAATCCACATCTACCAATATACATACAACAGCATATACTTATACTTATTATTTACTCACCGTTATACGTTGTATCTTGCCGGTCGCCGTAAGCGCTGATCCGCTGCTATTTTCTCGTCCTAGTGTATACTCGCCCACCGTTAGTGCTGATCCGTTGCTTTTGTTTCTCCTTAGTGTGTACTCTATTGTATACGGCCGGTGTAAGTGCTAATCCCCTGCTGTCTACTCTCCCGAGTGTATACTCTATTCTATACGAAAATATGGCTGTAACACAAATATAAAGCAATATATATATATATTAGTAGAGTTTTACTATGCCCTATTTAAATATATAACTCGCCGTCAAAACCAAATTTGGACCAAATTCAGGACTATTACTGATCGAGCCTGAGAAGTATTTAGTGAGAACTTTGAATGATTTGAAAACTTGGCGGTCAACAGAGGGCCGGCGGGTAGGGGCCACGGTAGGGCCCTGACTTCTCAACGGCCAATCAGCAACAGGACCTGAGTCTGCACTCTGCTAAGGTCCTAACAGGGGCATATTTAATTACACTAACCCAAAATTTAAATCCAGCTATAAAAATCCGAAACTATAAATATAATCTTCTCGAGTGGTTTAATTTAAAACTGTATTCAGCTTGACATTTTGAAATTTTGCAATTTTGGTTGGCCAAGGTGGTGACCCAGATTTCTGGGGCACGAAAATCGAAATATTAGATATAGTGATTTGGCCGATTTTTATTATTATTGCAGTTTTGGAGAGCTCACCAAAAGCCGAGTGCCCTGGGGGTTTAAAAACTAAAAAATTAAAATGGTTCATAGCCTTCAAAATTATACAAATGGTTGGTTCAAAAGTTATACGTGTTTGAAAATCGACCGGAAGACCCCGGTTCCTTCTTTGTGTGCACCATAGTCTTATAAAGTCGGGACTCGGGCGTCAGGACCAGGACTCGGGCATCAGGACTCTTGTAGAGGTACCAGTTACCACTCTATCCGTGTGGCAGCGGACTGGCGCTCCACTCTCGGGCCTCGGGCCTCGAGCCTCAGCCCTCAGCCCTCAGGCCCTCAGCCGACCGCCAGACTCTGTCCTTCTCCAAGAAACCGTGTGAAATTACGAGCAGTATTATTTCGGCACGAGTCTATATAGTGTTATATGTCTATCTTCACCAGGCTTTTCCCGAAACCACCAATTAAGAATGAGACATTATTTGACTATGTGACTATGTGTATAAATATGTATTGTGAACGAAGTCTGGCTGCGGGTACATATTTACATATTTACTCCGTAAACATAGGACATAGGTACATACAGCGGGGGTTTTTTATGTAATTTAAAAAAGAAAAAGAAAAAAGAAATACAATATGAAAATATATTCATACGTAAGTACTAAATACAGGTACAGTCTACTTACAAGTTGGCATCAGTACTGACGAAGTATTTACATACATCTGCTGCGTATCCCAAAGGTTACTTTTCATAAGATCCGCTCCATATAAATATAACTGGCATATTGCAGTTCGAACAAAACCAGCACTGTATGTATAGTGCGAAATATTCTTCAAAACTCATTGTACTGACTACGACCTCAAGTAAGAAACAGACTCTTACTGTTGAATTGAAGCATCCCCGAATAAACCACACTCGTAGAGAAAAGAACTCTTGTAAGATTTCATCTAGGTTCTTAGTAGCACGGGTTGTCTCAAACACAATTTTCAATCTTCATTTACATATATACGTGCTCTTTATGATGATTAGTGACGAAGGCGAAGATGCGAACGCCCCCGTGTGTGTGTTCAAGAAACGAAGAGGGAATAAGAGTGCTAGTAGATGCCGTATTGGTTCGGGGAAAAGAACTACTATTAAGAACAGTCGAAACAGTGGCAGTGATGCCGATGATGCGTCTGACTCGCAGGATAGCAGCTCATACAGTGGGAAGGGAAATATCGTGAGAGTGGATCGGAAACGTGTGCGACTGAATGTTTCTGGCACGAATAGGAACAATACACGGCGTGTGAAACGTGGTGGAACAGCTCGGAGCGACAATGCAGATAATCAAAAATTCTGGCTCGGAGGAGGATGGGGATAAGGGTGGTATGGGGTCTATTGATATGGTGACTGGGGATAGTGTCGTGGGATTTGCGAGAGCCTCCCGAGGTGATATGAACAAGGATACACATGCAACGAGTGCAAATGTAATAGATGGTAGAGAAGACGGGGAACGCAAGGAAGTGAATGGGAATATACAAGCGCGTGTGCCAGGTAGTAGAGGTGCTAATGTTTCAAGTTTTATCAAGCCTGGACCCCAGAAAGCTTCCGCCAACATCCGTGTGACTTCTAGATTTGATTACCAACCGGATGTATGCAAGGACTACAAGGAAACGGGATATTGTGGCTTTGGCGATACTTGTAAATTCATGCACGATAGAGGCGACTATAAAACGGGGTGGCAACTAGATAGGGAATGGGATAGCGGTACATACGGTAAGAAGCAGACTGATAACCAAAGTAGTGATGAAGCAGAGGAAGAAATCCCCTTTGCTTGCTACATTTGTAGGGAAGAGTTCACTAATCCGGTGGTGACCCGGTGTGAGCACTACTTCTGTATGAAGTGTGCGCTTGAACACTA